CCCGCAATCAGCCAGCACATATTGGCGGCCGCATTGCGGAGAAGAGAATCTATCCTGCGGCGCTTTGTTCGCACATTTTGCAGTGTCTCGTTTGGCACCGGCTCTGCTGTACTTCACTCTCCGAGGCATGATATGAACTTGTGCTTTCACAGACCTCATTTCATCTCTTGCATATATAGGGTGCATGCCAGCATACTTCGCACAGGGCGGTTACATCTTGGTGTCGAGCTTTTTTGATACCCATTTCCAGGTTACCTAGTCACATTTGAGACAAAATCTCCAAAGCAGCTCCAGGGTTCTAGCGCTAGTTTCATCTCATCGTGTATACCCGCTTTCCTATCAGTTGAATGTTTCAGTCGGAGCCGTCGATCCCGCTAGAATGGCTACCTGACCTCGATCCAAGAGCCCGCGGCCTGATATTCCCCCGACATGACTCTAATGGGGCCAAGAATGATCTCGTTTAATCCTGCAGCGCGACCTGTTGTCGAGGTAAGAGGAGCATATGGAGCGCCGTCTATGGCCCAGGGATCCTGCGGGTTTATTTTGAGGGTCAAGAGCCGCCCTACTCTGCTTTGTCACGGCATTTGCTCATTTACTGGCGTGGAAGAAAGGGGAAATAACAACCAGTGCTCTATCAGATGAGTGGCCCATTGGGAGGTTGACTACCTACCTACTAGATGGAGGGGAGAGAGTTCTATCATAGGTACACGATGACTTTGGCCCCCAGCTCTGGTCCGCTGGCTCTCGTTTCTTCTTTCACCCTGTCCATCCAACGTCAATGTGGCCTTTACTCGTTCAGGATCTTCCACACCAGTTCGACATACTGCTTGGAGTTGTCGTTGGCCATGATGCCGGGCCCCATCTTGTTCATGACATAGGTAAAGGTGACGTTGCGGTGGCAGTCCATGATTTCCAAGCTGCCGCCCCAGCCGCCCCAGAAGCAGGTTTTTTCTGTCGGCATGAATGGAAGGGTCTGGGCCGTGGCGCCGCCACCCAGGCCGTAGCCGATGCCGAAACGGAGGGGCATGCCGATGACCAGGTCGGTGCCGTTGGACTGCTCGCGGAAGATCAGCTCGATGGTCTCCGGGGAGAGGAGCTTGATGCCGTCGACGGAGCCGCCGTTGGGGATCGCCGAGAGCACGCGGTTGAGGGCCCGCGCGTTGGTGTGCCCGTTGACGGCTGACATGTCGGCGGCGCGCCACTCAGGCCTCAGCGAAATCAGAGCGTCGGTCGGCGGGTTGGCAAAGGTCTTGACGGCGGGTGAGTTGGGGTCCATCTTGGAAAAGTCAAGGGGCAAGGGCGGCGGCGGGATGACGGGCGCGATGCGCGGCCAGTCCTTCTCCAGCGCGCCGATCTGCAGGTCCGCGCCCAGCGGCGCCGCAATCTCCTCGGCCACGAACTGCTTCATGGGCTTGCCCGTCGAGCGGCGGATGACCTCGCCGAGGAGATGGCCCATGGTGGTGGCGTGGTACCCGCTGGCAGTGCCGGGCTCCCACAGGGGAGCCTGCGCCGCCAACCGCGCCGTCGCCTTGGGGACGTCCCAGACGTCCTCGACGGTCATCTTGTCCTGCCACCCGGACAGGCCGGACGTGTGCGACATGAGGTGGCGGATGAGGATCTTTTCCTTGCCATTGGCCGCAAACTCGGGCCAGTACTTTGCGACGGGGTCGTCGACGTTGAGCAGGCCGCGCTCGTGCGCGAGGAGACACGCAAACGTCGCGATCGTCTTGGTCGACGACCACACGTTGGTGATGGTGTCGGCCTGCCAGGGTTTCGTTTTCGCTTCGTCAGCCCAGCCGCCCCAGATGTCGACGATCGTCTTGCCCCCGACGTTGAGGGTCAGCGAGGCCCCGAGTTCCTCGCCGCTCGCGATCCGCTGCTCGACCAGGTCCTTGAGCTTTGCGAAGCGCGGGTCGCACTGGCCTTGGACTTGGGCCATGATTTTTGGTGGTAGAGTTTTGGAGAGTTTTGGAGTTTGGTAGGGGTTGATGTGCTGTGCCGTGCTGTGCTGGGAGTGAGTGAGTCGACTTTTTGTGTGTTTTTGGTCCTTCTCCACCGGTTGGTTAGGTGCTTGACAATGTCGGATGTGCGAGGTAGGATGTAGATATCTAGAAGTTGGTGCGAATGATGGATTGTGGATGTTTCGGTATCGTGCTATCCGGGCAGGCAGACAGACAGACAGACAGACAGGCAGGCAGACAGATTTAAAATCCTTGTCCACTCTCCTGCCGTTTGAGACGTGTCTTCTCTTCTCTAAGAAATAGAGGGGGGACACAAAATAATACACCTCTTGTTTTCCCCTTACAGGATGTCGAACTCTAGGTTTTGACTACGAAGAGCAGTCAGTGCAGTGCTCTCTTTTTACCGAGTTACTAAACTAAATACTAAATACCCGTGCGACCATAACCTCTTTATCCTCGTCCTCCTCCTGCCCCTGGTCCCGGGTCATATCCCCCGGGGTCTCCCCCGCCTTCTTCCTCCGTGCCCAGGCCCCAGCGTTTCCCTCTCAGGTCGTTTCGACACGCGAATACGTCGTCGTGTTGGTTTGGCCAGTTGGCACGTTTTTTTCCCCCGAAACACGAGGGTCGTGGGAACCGAGGTTGCAGAAAGCCGTCGGTCATTGTGGGCCAATAGGGACGAAGGGTTTTGAATTGAGGGTTTGCCGCAATATTAGAAATGGATTGGAAATTGTGCTCGGGTTTTACCTGCGAGCCCTGGTATCAACGACGTCCAAAAACCCAATTCGGGAAAAGGGGGAGGTTTTAGGCCTATCCAAGGGGTCATTTTATGCCGGTTTGACAAATCTTGATGGTATGCAGCTAGCTACCCATGTAGATATGCTACCTAATATGTACAATAGGTAGCATGGTAGATTAGGTATGTATCTGGCAATGGTATGACATGTATGATGGAATACTAACCACCAAACTCCCCGTATTAGGTAGGTAGGTACTGTATGTAAGGTCCTCGTTGAACTATTCCCAGGATACCCAGCCTTGTTTCTCTGTATCTCTTTCTCTCTGTCTCTCACGCCTCTCCTGCTAGACACCTGTACCTCGTGCATGAAGATACCTGCCCGCAACACCCGTAACACCACTACATATACCTAGGCAGTACGTGGCACTGGCAGTACCTGCTAAGTACTTCGTATACCTCCTCGTACGGAGTATCTGATGCCCCGCTTCCCGAGGCCAATCTTGAGCCAAGATACCCCTCCTCCTCCCTCCTCTTCTCTCTCTCACTCATCTTTCTTGGTTGGGTAACAGGAACGCACAACTTTCTCTTTCTCGGTTCAAACCTCGGACGATCGACGGGTATCGTATCCCCTCGCGATCACGCCTCTAACAAGGACCATCCGTCGCTCGCCCTGTATCATGATTCTTAACCGACACACAACCGATACCGATGCTGACATGACCATACCGACATACCGACATACCTACATACCTACCTACCAAGGAGAGACAGTACCGAGCTATTGAACGAGCGACATACATACCGTGTGTATGTGTCCATGATAAACCACGCGGACACGCTGATGAGGTAGAGGAGATGTGACACACGCACACGTGAACAACTCTTCCCTTCTTTTCCCATATTTCTTTTTCTTCATCTTCGTATTTGTCTCGGTGTCGGATGGCGGTATTGTTTCTAGTCTTATTTGGCTTCGTCTTCCCTCTTTTGCCGAGGATTCCTTTCCTTCATCCTGAAAAAACTTGGCTGGTGGCTGTAGCGTTTGGATCCCGAGGACATCTACGATAGGATATATGAACAAGGGGATGATATCGGAGATCTGATTGATATCTATTGTAGATTGGGGCATTGGTCCTTGTGCACGTATATATATACCTACAGCTATAGCCGAGCCAGCCAGAGCCAGGGGAGGCACAACACCTCCCGTACACAGGCACTGTCATGTAAGGTGGCTCGCTAAAATACGCACCGACTCATTGTCCTGAGCCTGAGGACTCTGTATGTCCTCTTCTTTATTTCCTCTATTTTAGGTAGGTTAGAGTGGTGCTTGACAACAAGCCGCTGCACGGACCCTGGACCAGGGCCAGCAAATGAGGCCTTGGACTGTCCACCGACAAGTCTAGAAGAAGCAATCGTTGGTCGGACCGTTCAAGGTACATATCACCAATCGGGGACAGACCCGGACGCAGGCAAATTTGAGAGCGCCAACGAGTGAACGACACGATAGACGTCCGCTGTCGGTCAGCCTCAAGTGCAGAAGAGGCGCCAGTCTCAATATCCCCCTCAGGCTTGCGCTGTCCCTGTCAAACCAAAACGCCCGAGAATGCGCAGATAAAGGGCATAGCCTAGCTAGCCACAGCCTTCGTGGGTTCATCGCCCTAGAAGTAGTCGCTGTTGTCCTAGCGCATCTAAGCATGAGGCTCTGCTGTCGCTGCTCTCCGTGCTCGACATCTTGCAGTTCGACGGTGATGATGGCCATCGCAACCTCCGTACCTCGAGAGCCTTTGAGCGTGCAATCTCAGCATCGCCAGTCCCGAGTCGACATTTCTCTGGGGCATCAAACAGCGTTGACGTAGGCAACGAGGTACATATGCACATGTCCTCGGTACCTAGTATGTGCCTAATGACATGCAGATGAGCGCCACTATGGTGGCTGCGGGAACAGCCCCGGTGGCCCCTCTGCCCCTGCTGTCGGCAGCCTGTTTATCGGACTTGACCGCTTCCAGACCGCTGGATCTCGGATTGGAAGCGACCCGCGTTTCGTGTAACCAGATTCTGTCGTCATGTCATCATGTCATCCCAATGGGGCCAGATAGTATTCGCCGTCGTCGCTTGGTGGAGATCTCACAATTTTGCGGATACATCGTCCGCCCTGGAGTGGTGTGGTGAGCAGCGAGCTCGGAGACCCGACGATAAGCCAGAGCGCGCCGAACTGGTCAAGTCCTCGGGAACTCGCCAAAGCCTTCCATCCAGCAAAATTTATGTGTCATAAATAGAGCTTTTGTCCGAAAAGTCTTGTTACCCAATCAAGAATCCATCTGTGTATCGAAAAACGCGTCGTCGGTGCTGGGGAAGAACGAGTCCATCGCCGTGTCATCATCGGGCAGCTGCTGCTGTGAGAGCATGGGGAATGACCACCGCCGACTGTCAATAGCGTCAGCAGCCTTCAGCAGCGATCCCACAGCCGATTCCAAGATGCCGCTGGCAATCTCCAAGAACTCGGCGCTCTTATTCGAGACCCGCAGCGTCCACCTATACTCCTGCAGCCGCCTCTGGTAGAATTCGGCCTCCTCCTGGCTCACCGACGTGACAAAGCACAGCCCGGCAAAAGTGCCAATGAGGGCAAAGTTGAACTTGGACGCAAAGTACCAGAACGACTGGAGGTGCTCGGGCTTGAGCCGGTTGAAAAAGTCCATAGCACTAATCAGCCTGGCTTTGGCCGCCGACCGACATATCTGGATCATATAGGGGTCGGTATTGGGCGAGAGCGAGCGTAGAATCCGTCGGTGCAGTGTGATTTCAGTGGCAAAGTAGGCCAGGTGCAGGTAGCCCACCGAGCTCAGCTTGCCGACCCTGGTGGCGTCCATGCGCAGTGTCTCGGGCATCTCAGCATACCAGGATCGCAGCTTGAGTTGTATCGGTTTGGCGCGGTCGAGGATGGCCTTGGTGCTGTCGTACGAGTTCTTGACCTCGAGCTCTGCCCTCAGCGAGTAGAGTTCCTCCAACACCTCGGCCAGCATCTTAGTTAGAGTGATCATGGCGCTGAACAACGTACGCCCCTTTTCGACTTCGGTGCTACCGTCCTCCTCGTCCTCGTCCGCGGCGCTTTCGGGAAAATCACTGCTGATCACCGGCTGCACGGCCCAGTTGGTGTTTGAAATGTGAGGCGGCCGTCCGTAGATCAGGGCCGACCATGTGTCCTGCATGAAAAGAGCCCAGCCAAGTCGTTTCCGAAGCCCTTTTTCCCACGAAGGTATTCGCCAGTTTGAACAGTCCAGATGTAGGCCTAGATCCTGGCCAATGGCAACAAGCTGGGCCGTCAGCTGCCAGGCCTGATTACTACCCGGTCGTTGGAGCAGGAGAAGCCCTGCCTGGACCGTAGACAACTTTGCTCGATGCGACACATCCTGTAACGTCCGGTACGCGACATCTTCTAGTTCGGCGACGTTGGGCTTTGTCTGCCTCGCGAGCTCGATGCTGTATGACCACCAGTTCAACGCCAGGATGTAGACGGCAGCGAGCAGGGGAGGGGAGAACTCCCGATGGGTCCGGCCATACTTCTCCAGATAGACCTTCTTATGCAGTATGGGAAAGGTGGGGTGGACAATCCGAAAGTAGAGCCTTATCAGAGCCTCGCCGTGAGGGGCGACAATGCGCTCGATATTGTCGAGCTCCTCGACCTCCCTAGCATGGTTGGGCGAGTCCGAGTCGGCGTATTGGTGGAAGAATTCATTGGGACCGACTTTGCGGAAGGAGCCCTGGTCGGCGGGACTTTCACCCTTGATGTCGTCGTACAGTCGAAGATCTAACAGTGCAAAGTCATGCTCATCGGTCGGACCAATGTCTACCACGGGGTTTTAGTGAGACATCTATAACACAAATCGCGGATGGTCCTTCGCTGGGGAGATCACATCACCCATAGAGCAGGACGGCAACCTACATTTTGCATATCTATGATTTTGCAGCCTGTCCATGACCATTGTCAGCTTTCAAGAAGGGGCGGCGGACAGGTTGGAGAGTAGACCAGGCTGTGGCGGAATAGGAACTTTGCCAAAAGCATTATCGACAGTGGTCATACATACCCCAAGGTTTTTTTGAGCAATGACTCGCCCTGCAAGTTTGCATAATCGTCGATGACAGGACCGATTCGAATGGATTCAGCAGATTGCCGTCGTGGGGCATGGCCGTTGCCATCGGAACCTCTGTTATCTATGTCTTAGCCTGGTGGTGATAGGGGATGGATGGGATTGGGGGTGGGAACAAATATGCAAGATCCGGAAAGGAAGTAGTAGTAATCTTGGGTTGGACGAAGGGGAGAGGAGGGGTGGATAATCTCTGTCTCTTTGCGATTGATAAAGCAAGTGGGAAGAAACCGGGGGAGCAGGAGGGGGGGGCCCTCACGAGCGTCTTTGCCGAGCTAGGGAAGCCACCGAAGCATTCTCGGAAGTGGCAGTGCCTCCAGTGACGGTGTTGTGGTTGTTGTAGACGTGGTTATTGTTGGTGTTGTTGTTGGGTTGCTTCCGTCTCCGTGGAGCGGCGTCTTCGATAAAGGTACAGGCCTGCTTGTGGAATTGGCACATCACACACGAAGCAGCATCGGGATTGATGACGCAGCGACTCTTGCGACGTCGACAGCCATCACAAGGTCGATCGGGTCGAACGCCTAGGGGGCTCGGCCCTTCTCCCACGCGAGCAGATGGGGACGATGTCATAGCATTCACACTACCTGGACCAGGACCGGCAAAGGGAGGACTGACACCATTATCACCCAACGAAGTAGGCGACATGGTCGAGAGCATGACGATTTAGAGTATCGATCCGGGGGGGGTGTGGTTTGTGAGGGCCCTCTTTCGTCTAGGAAGAAGTGATGGTCTTTATTGGGCAAGGAGAACCCAAGGGATCTTTCAAGGCCAGGAGATCCATATCAGGATTTGACGATCCTCCTTTTTACGTTGTGTTCATGTTATTTTTTAAAATGACATTTTCCAAACCGCTTCTCGGATCGATTGTGTCCCTGAAGGCGCGTCAGGATAAGCTTCTGTTCTCTGGTAGGACTTGTTCGTTGTCTGGCATGCCGGGGGTAAGGTAGAAAACGGGTAAAGGCAAGATCTCGACCGAAAGTTGAGCCTGCGAGGCGGATCCCGGGCGACTAATGGGCGTTGAGGAGATGCGACGACTAGCCCGGTATAGCGAATGGCGCTGCAATTGATTGAGTAAGAAATAATAGGCAAGGGGACCCAAGGGGATCCAAGGGGCAAGACAAGGCCATCTAGTGTCGGGTTGCGAGGGGAGGTTGAGATAAGGAAGTTGAGGATTCGATTGGCTGAACAAAGGAGCGACAGGGTGATTGAGCGAGCCAACGGCATCCACGGCACCTACGGCACCAGCGGAGAAATTGTCATAAATAATAATGACTATCGCAGCGTCACCACGGGTCATCATGGGCCAATATGGGCCTCCATGGGGCTTCATGAGCCACTGACCGTGTTGCTGGGCGTGGGACGCAGCTGAAGATGCGCTTTTCAACCTTTTGTTATTGGCATGTCGCATGTCGCATGTGGCTTGCTTGCTGGCCTCACCCTCTAATGCAGCAATGCAGCAAAGTACACGATAGCTTTCTCTCTCTCCCTCTCTTTCTCGCGCTCGCTCTCGCTTCTCTCTATCAATTCAAATCCAGCTCATCTCGTTCGCTCAGACGCCACAAAATGCCCTATCGCGCCGTCGCCTCCTGATAGCGGCTGGCGATATCCAGCACCTCGCTGTCCGAGCAACGGCTGCCCAGCAACGTGATACTGAATGGCAATCGAGGTCCAGCCTCGCTTTCCTGGTACGTCGAAGATGGCACGGCAATGCCACACATGTCCAACACGTTGGCGAAATGGGTAAAGGTGCCCATCTTCGCGTTCAGCCGGATGGGATCTGCAAGCATTTCCTTGATGGTGGGATGCCACGGCGCCGTGGGCACCACCACGACGTCAAGCCCAGATCGATCTGCAGACCTGAATTGCGACGTGGCTTGTCGCGTGTACAGCGCCTTGGCCTGGAGTTCTCTGAACAACTGCACCGCCGTGCTCTGTCGTGCCACCACCTTCTCGAACAACTCCAGGATGACTGGATGCAGATGCTGTCTGTTCTTCTCCAGGAAATCGTCTGCTAGGCTAGCCAATCGCTCTGAGACGAACGTGCCTTCGTAGAGCAAGTCGCCCGCTTTCTGGAATGGAGTCCAGTCCATGGGTACCAGAGTGCCTCCCATGCCTTGAAGTCGTGAAATGGCCTCATTAAACAGTTTTCGGAAGCTAGGCGAACACACTTCGAGAAGCTCGGGAGGAGGGATTCCAAATCGAAAGGTTTCTCTTTGTGCCCCTATCGAGTTGACGTGTCGTTCAGCCGGAAATCTGTCATGTTTCTCCTCTGTTAGCCCGCATGCCCTGCGCTTAAGAACGGTGAAGTCGTTTCTGGTTTTGCATATAGAAACTCACGTATCTCTGGCATAACGATCGTTTTCATCGTATCCCTCGCAGACCTGCCACAGCGTGCGTGCGTCTTCGACCGTCCTGGCTGTGAAAGCGATGCAATCAAGCGACAAGCAAGCGGGCGTCACGCCCTCAAAAGACACCAACCCGCGTGTAGGCTTGTATCCCACAACACCGTTGAAGCCAGCTGGCACTCGTCCAGACCCAGCGGTGTCTGTTGCTAGCGAGAAGGTCGCCTGGAAACCACACCTGTCAGTAACACAAGGCCTCCTTCGAGGCAAGAAACCAACCTACCAGATCTGCGCCTACGCTCACACAACTTCCGCTACTACTCCCGCCAGAGATATGCTCGTCGCTGAAAACGGAGTGTGTGATGCCAAACGGACTTCTGCACCCGCTCAGTCCAGTTGCCAATTGATCCAAGTTGACCTTGCCCAGGTATAGGGCACCTTGTCCCACCACCTTCTGGTAGCACGTTGCAGATCTGGTCGCCACGAATGCCAGTGGGGGACAGGCCGTGGTGGTTTCGACTCCTTGGACGTCAATAGAGTCCTTGACCGTGAAACTGTCGAATGAGTTAGCACCACAGTGCTGTCTACAACAGAGAACTTTGACAGAACTACTCCTGCAGGTATTCTGGAATCACTTACGGCACACCGAACAATGCCGGGCGCGCATTCTTGTCCGGGTACAGCTCGAGCAGACGTCGGGCTTGATCCAAAACCCCCGCTCGCGACTCTCGTCGGATCCAGACCGCCCCGTCAATGTGTTCATACTTCTCGATCCGGTCGAACAGCGCATTGACCAACTCAAGGGGGGACAGTCCGCGCTTATACGAGGCTTGGAGATCAGCGATCCCGAGCTTCCCATCCCAGGACGGCGGTGTCTGTGGAGGCGTGCTGACTCCTTTGTTCTGACTTTGCCACGGGGAAAGCACGTCCAGAACAGGTTGGAGATCGGCCACAAACCCAAACAGACCCTGTGACCAGTGTATCATGTCCAGGGAGGCGGTCTTGAAGGCCGCGTTGTAGCCGGCCGTGCTCTGGACGATGCCACAGCACTCGAACCCTCGGTCATTCGCTTCTCTGATGGTGGTGGAGAAGCAGCATTCGGTCGTGACGCCCGAAACGAGAAGGTGAGTGATCCCGCCGGCTTTCAGCTTGTGGAGGATCGGAGTATTCCAGAATGACCCCTTGCCGGGCTTGTCAATGACCACCTCGGAAGGCAGCGGCTGCAGCTCGTCGACGATATCATGCCCGTACTCCCCGCGCACCAAGAGACGGCCCATGTCGCCTTTGTCGCCAATCACTTTCAGATGTTGCGTGTTGCCCGGAGCGGCAGCCTGTCGAACAAGTTTCGACGAAGGACAGTCAGCCAGGGAAGGGACTTGTCCTTCTCTGGTATGGAAGATGTGCAGGCCAGCATCACGGCATGCGTCCAGTAGTTGCTTCGTCGGAGCAATCGAGGCCTGAACGGCCTCTAGATTTCCGCCTTGGATCTCGCCAAAGCCTCCAGCACAGATGAAGTCGCGCTGCATGTCAATCACCAGCAGCGCGGTGTGCTTGAGAGGGAAGGAAAAGGGGTAGGGCTTTGCCTCGATGGTCAGGAAGCCTTGCTTGTCCTTTGACATACCCATGTTTGTTTGCTTGAACACTCGTAAAGCGTTACGTTGTCTGTGAGCGCTATAAAGAGTCGGGGGCTTACAGCTGACGGAGATGTGAGGCTTTATACAAGAAACGACCCCCTCGAGAGCATCTGGGCTGAATCAATACTTGTACACAGTATGATGGCGATCATCCGATGTCGTTTAGTCAAGAAAACATCCAGGACGCTCAAGGTCTTGCCAACCACAGCGTGCCAAATCTGGAGGGGGTTGATCCATCGTGGCTATTGAACCAATGCTATGCTTGTCCCTGAGCGCAAGACGAGGCCTTGATAACGGATAAGACCGACGACGCCGGAAACACCGTAACAGGCTAGCCTAGTATCGGCGGCCGTGTAATATTTCATGCGCCGGCGCCCACTGCACCATAATTCGCCCTGTGGCCGCCGGCGGTATCGTCACAGACATACAGCACGTGACCGCAGTATCAGGAGCCTCGCCGCCGGCGCCTTCAGTGGCCGGCGGCTTTATCTGCGTCCAACCTACACCAAGGCTGCCCCTGTATCTTGAATCTGGGCTTTATCCATGACGCATCCTGACCCCGGATTTGCATCTCTACAGATTTGATGGGTCTGGATGTGCAGATCTGATGACCTCGGCGGGCCTTCGACTACCATGCCGCGGGGCCTATCTTCCCGTTCCTCCTCGTGGCGCCCTTGTCTCTATCGTGCATGCCCCACTCATCTCTTCTATCCTGCATGTGTCCAGCCTTGGAGTTGAGCTTCTTCAGCTCATGAGCTGAAGACCTATATAGATCTCCAGTTCGCCTCCCAGCTGCACCAGAGGATTCCCAACCCTTCAACACTCATTTCTCTGATTCAACTTGGTCCTCGACTTGAATACTCCAACCTGCACCATGGTCAACTTCTCCAAAGACCGCTTCTCCCCGAAGCGCCTTTCGCCCAAGCACATCAAGGCCAAGATTGAGCCTCAGCTGCATTGGAAAGTCCCTATGGAGGAGGGAGTGTACCAAGACAGTCGCTGGTCCAACCCAGATCTCGACCCTGTCAAACCTGAGGATCGTGAGTCCCACCCAACACCTTTCAACTCTGCAGAGTCGTCGTCCAGAGTTCTGGTCCATTTGATGCCCTGGCTAACTGATAGCTGCAGGTACTTGGGGTGCTGTGGTACGTGCCCTGTCCCTCCCACCGCGATGCAGTCAAGACCCACCAGACTGACCTCCCTTCCATAGGACTATTGGGCATATTGGACCAGTGACATGCTTGCGCCCCCGCTGGCATCCACAGTGTCATCTGTCATGAGCTTGGGTTTTACTGCTCGAGAGACGGTGAGTAAGATCGGTTCTGTACCAGCTTGAGGAAAACACGCGCAGAACTCTGCCCCTTTCAGGAAGTCTTTCTGATGCTGACGGCACACTGGTAGATTCCCATTGTCTTTTGTGGCTTCGCGTTATGCTCAGGAGCATTGACCCTGACGGGGAAGATGGGTGCGCGATATAGCATCCCCTTTCCAGTGCTGGTCCGCTCCATTTTCGGAATGTATGGAAGTTATCCGGTCATTGTTCTCCGGTCCTTCGTGGCCGCCATGTGGAGTAAGGCCAACATCACTTTCTTATACTCTTTGGTTCATGTTGATGTGATTGCCGAGCTGACTTGGGCGAACAGCTGCCATTCTGTGTGTCCAGGCAGGTGACTTTCTCAACAACTGTCTCACAGCCATCTGGCCGAGCTTCGCCAACTTTCCAAATCACCTACCTGAGAGTGCTGGGATCACTTCAGCTGGACTCTTGTGCTTTGTGAGCATCCTCACTGTCTGGATGGAAATGGAGGACTGACGATTGCCAGTTCATTTACTGGATCTTCCAAACAATCTTAGCTTGTATGCCCATCAAGAAGCTCCGAATCCTTTTCCTCATCAAGGGTGTTGTCGTTCCGCCGACCTTCCTTGCCCTGTTCCTGTGGGCAGCTATCGTCACAAAGGGAGGCGGGCCTCTTGTGACTGGCCACGCCAAAATCACCTCGACATATATGAACACGGCATATTCGTCCCTGACTGGCTTGAATGCAATCATCGGCCTCTTCAGCTCCATGGCCGTCAACTTCCCGGACTTTAGTCGTTTCTCCAAAAACAATCTCAAAGGATACAACCAATTCTTTGCACTGCCAGTCATCGGCACGTTGGGAGCCTTGACCCCCATCTTCGTCACCTCAGCCCACAGCTACCTGTGGGGCGAGTTCGAGTGGTATATGCCTGCTGTCATTGCCAAATTCGACTCGCGTGCCGCCAAGTTCTTCACCGCGTTCAGCTTCATGTTGGCCACTGTAAAGGTGTGGTATGATTGATTGTCTAGCTATCTTCTATGGGAGTGCCGAAGGTAGCTATCTACTGCTTGTATCAAGTGTAGAATGGCAGGTGCCATTAGTAGGTCACGTGGCATGATCACATGACCACGGGGAATCCACAACACTCCCGGTATTCTTCTTTCTGAAGATGCGGCCTCGCATCAAATCCTTGCCGTGGAGTCTTCAAAAGTCACCTGATGCATCCAGTAAAGAGTTGACTCGTCGTGTCGCCATGGGCATTCCAACTGTCGACTGTCACAAGTCGTAGCGACGTTTGGCCGGATCAAATCGTTCCCTGCTGCCCGCATGACAGCAGCAGCAATGAGAACAGTAGCGAGGAACGGATGGTCTATCCGATTGGAGTGAAACAATCAGCAAAGACAGGATGGTATCTCCGATTAGAGCCTGGCCGCGATAAGTGACCAGTCTGCCGCCCTTTTTTTTTTTTTTTTTTTATTTCCTTTTTTTCTGGCACGGCTGTGCCGTAACATCGTCATTTTAGTCGGAGTCGCTGGCGTAATCTATCAGGAACGTAGCCAGTGGGCCCTCCATCGGCAGTCGACGCCGTCGTGGCTGGTGTTCCTCTGCGGTGACGCGCGTTTCTCTTTCCTCGCTGCGTTGGTGTTGCCGTACCTGCTCAGCCTCGTCTCCCGGCGTTGTCTCATCCTCCAGTTCAAGGTTTGCTCGCGGCGACGGTGCAGCATCCGTCTGACATGGAGCGTCCGGTTCAGCATTTAGTCGCAGAATCGCATTTACCTGATGTAAGATATCCGGTTGCTCAATGTCTGCCTACAGCGGAGTTGTAGTTCGTGTCGGCAGCGGCGGATCATCCAGGATGTCTACGTAAGCGAGTATAGACTGGGCGTCGTCAGGGTCAGATTTCAAATTAATCCTTACTATTACTCGCTGTGTTGTGTCGGTCCTTCCATCAAAGAACCATTTTCCGTCTTCGGTATATTATCCTTGTGGGCGTTCCCTCGTTAGTCTCGTGTTCGCGAGCGAGCTGATTAGTGTTTCCGGCGTGGGGTCTGGAGCGGCAACGATGCCAGTCATCGGTAGATCCGTAGGCCGTCGAGAATCTGTGGGCGACGCCGTCGTGGTAGCCAGTCGCGCATTCGCTGTAACTTCTTCCAATCTTATCCGCAGCCGGCGTAGCCGTTCGTCCATCTCTATACGGTGTATACGTTCCCTCTCTTCTACCTCGCGGTCAATCCGATCTTACTCCTCGTTCTGTTCCTCATTCTGACGTGTCTGCTGTGCTTTACGGTCGATCCGACCCTGTTGTTGTCTCCAAACCCGCCGGCGTTGGTTATCAAGCGTCATCGACATGGCTGGATCATAGTTAGATAACGACCTAAGCACGGGTGGCCCACCTTGCAATTGGATTCGAGCCATGTTTCCCGGGTCGATGTTCGATATGACCACTCTGGAGGTGTAGTGTTCGGCCTGTCCAGCTGACGTCGAAGTAGGTGGTCGTGGCGACATCCTGACATATTCTAAGGTTGGTAGGGAGCGTCCACACCGTGCCTGGGCGTCGGCAGGCATGCGTAGCGTAACGACAAGTGTCACAGTTCCATCGGGATTCCTATGTCGTCGTGGTATTGGAGGGACCGTCTGGGTGTTCCGTCCGTATTCGATGGGCGCGCGGTTGCGCTCCGAGATGCGGGTGAAGGCGTGACGGCCGAACTATATGACCTGATCAGGTCGTGGCATCTCCATCACGGCGTCGGTGGTAGGGGCCCCAGCTGGAGAAATAGGCTCTTATTGTTGAGTTCCATCGTCGTCGATGGCGATGTGGGTGGGCGGGTTAACCGCGTTAAATAGTCGTTCCCTGGCACGTCGACGTGGCGTATCTGTTTCGCCAGGGGCGGTAGCAGTTAAAGCGCGTCGGCGGCTCGGTTGTGCCACGTCTCGCCTTCGTCGTGTCGATCGCAGGTGTTGGTCAGTCCGAGTGTCGAGGGCCACACGTCGTCTCTGAGTCACGCTTTCCTGACGGGCGATCCGATCTTCCTCGGTTCGTGCGTTTTGGACCTAGGTAGCTTCATTTTGTCTGATAACCGCTTCATGTTCGTCATCGTTCAATTCCACCTAGACAGCCCGACGGATTGCAGCTTGGTCGGCGGCCTCGTGTGGTTCGAATGGAGCTCCCGCGCCCCTCGCCTGTTCCTCGTCATCACGGACGGCGTCTCGCACCAGTTGCTCGTCTTCGTCATTCAGGCGTGTCCTTACCTAGGCCTCCCGCCGTTAGGCCTCAAGTAAGGCGTCGTCCAGGTTTTATCTTGTATGGAGGTAACGAACTCTTGAGCGGCCTTCGTAGGATGCGGGATAACCGCCCATATCGACTGGTAATCGGTCTCTATGGTTTTCCTGGGTGATGAAGCGACGGGCTTGCCGCAAAGAGCGTTCGCCATCAAATGTAGGTCTCATAATGGCTAGATTACCACGTATCCATTCTCGTTCGAGGATTCCGTATTGGAATTCCCGCATGGCTGACCTCCATGCTCTCATCTCGCGGGTGTATCGTCGGTTTTCCCGTTCCGTTCTGTCTGCCAAATCCTCCAACAGTCTTGTGCCTTCGTTCCATCTCCAATTCGGGTCTATAGCTCGTCCGCTGAAGCTGATGTCATCTTCGCTGATGTAGTTGCCGTATCTATCAACGAATACGGTCCTCCCGTCAATGTTCGCCTATATGTAGGTTTCCACGCCTGTCCTGTTTGTTTCCTTCACTGTTGCGATACCTTCTTTTACCAGCGTTCTCTTCACTACCCTAGCACCTCCGCCAGATAAACCGACGTATGTCCTAGCCGCCCGAGCGTCGGGGGGATCTGGGCATCTTAGTGGCTCCGGGGTCTCGTAAGCTAAAGTTCTACCGTAACGTAGTGCAACCGAGACTGCGAGTTCGACCGGAAGTAGGTTTGTATGGAAAGTGTCCTAGAAAGGTGGCGGGTCATCCTGCGCATCAAGCAAGCCTTCCTCTTCTTGTCTACCTTCTCTCAACTGTCTCGACCGGGCGTTGGCGCCCGTGGTTCTCCCGAGTCTCTTAAGTCGTTCCCGGTCGAACTGTTCGCCCCGAGGGACGTCAAGCTCGCCTTAGGGTCCATCATCACGTTAGGCTCGCCGTAGTATTAGTAGAGGGGCATTCGGCTCCTGTAGCGAGGGAGGGGACGGTGGGTCCGATGCTGACCTAGCTCTACGTATACGCGGTCGCCGATAGGCGCGAACGAGGTCGGGTCGTGGTGGAATTCTCAACGGGTCCTCCGAGTCTGAGGACGAAAACGAGAGGTCTTCATTCATAGTGTAGTGAGTTGAGGTGAGGTTGAAGTGATTTTCATGATCGTGTCAAAACCGGTGCCGTCGGAGGATCCGACAGTGTAGGTGTAGTAGAATCTAAAGTGAGAGTAAAATGAGAATTTAAGATATAATCTTTGTTAGAAATGGTGGAGAGGCCGTAATCGAATATCTTCTAGATGAGCTGTAGTTAGTATCGTGGTCAACTCGGGAAAACCGTGCCCTCAGCGGGAGGTAAATGGCTAATCATATCTCAGTATGGGACGTCGCATTCACTTTCGCGACTTGCCTGAGCGACGACGGCCTTTACCAGCATCGCTGGAAATTCCGTCCTTCTCATCCTGGGTCCGCTTGTACGCTTCCACCAGGTCAATGGCGTTCCCAAGGAGATCCTCTCCGTACCATTCATCAAATTCTGGGCCGTAGCCCTTCCAGCGTATCAGGTATTCCATGACCGCTTTCTTACCGTACTTCCGTGTGCGGTGTTTAACGATCTTTTCGATCTCGTAAGATTTCCACTCCTCGGTGTCTCCGTCTACCTCGACGGCGTCGGGGTGGTCAGGTAAGGGCCTTCCATATGGATCTGGCGATGGGTGTGGCTCGAGCTGTATAACCGAAATGACGGGGTGGACTTTCCAATTAGGTGGAAGGTCGAGTCTGTATGCCAGTCGGCCCACGCGTTCGAGCACTTTAAATGGCCCGACTCGCTGTTGGGAGAATTTCCGGTGCGGCTTGCTCGGTAGGTTGTATCTATGGTGTAGCCGTAGCTAAACCTGGTCGCCTTCTTTAAACATGATGTCCTTGTGTCGGTGGTCGTACCGAACCTTAGCCTTTAGGTTTGCAAAAGCGACTGAGTCAGCCGCCTATTCTCGAAATACCATTCTATCCAGTTCGATTTCTAGTATGTCGGTTGGCTGTCCCGTAAGAAGATTAACAGGCTCTCGCGGTAAAAACCCTAGGATCATCCGATTGGGTGATAATCCCGTAGCCTGATTGACCGAGTTGTTGATCGAGAATTGCAAGGCCGGAAGCGCCGCGGGCCACGATGTCGCGTATTCCGCTGTCAGGTATCGCAGACTGATCTCGACGGTTTGGTTTGTCCTCTCGGACTGCCCGTCCGTCTGCGGGTGATATGCTGTGGACATGAGTAAGGAGTAACCGAGGCGTTGAAACAATGATTTCCAGAATTCGCTTAGAAACTTTGGGTCACGATCGGAAATGATCGCCGACGGAATACCCTAATCCGCGACGAGCCATCGATCTAAAAATGCTGCGGCCTAATTCTCTGCTGTCTATGTGGACTTTCTAGGGACTAGGGTTACTCTCTTACTTGCTTTGCATGTACATGTTGCTACGACATCGAGTCCGTGGTCCTGTATCGGGAGTGCCACGATAAAATTAATGGCGACGGTGTGGAAAGGTATATTTACCGTCTGGATTGGTACGAGCCTTCCGTAGGGTTTATGACGGTGAACCTGGTTCCTGATACAATCGGGGCAGCATTTGATATATTGGCGGAGTTTCCGCACTTGTTTGCGTATATAGACGCAGTCTCTGAGCTTTGCGTATGCTCGATGGAAGCCAAGATGGCCAGCGTCATCGTGGACCATCCGGAATATCTCTCCTTCCAGAGGCGGTGGGATGCAGAGGCGTGGGCTACCCGTTGCGGTACTGTAAATCAGTCCGTCGTCAAGGTAGAACTTCAATCCGTTGGGGATATCCGTGATTCCGTCTTGTTTATCCGCTTTAGCTTCCTTTCGTAGAAGCTCTAAAATCGGTGCCTAATGCTTATCGTGTTCGTACCTATGGATGATCCGTTCGCGCGTGTATAGTGTCATCGCTACTAGTGCGCCGTTGAACGCGTGTACGGCGGTCATTTCTTTATCAACCACATGGGCTGGACGTTCCCCAGCTAGATGTGAAAAGGTGCCGAGGAATAATGCCTCCGGGTCCTCCGTATCCCTCAATTGTTTCAGTCTGGAGAGCGCGTCTGGTACTAGATGTGCCTTACCTGGCTTGTACCTGATATCTAGACGAAATTGCGATAGATATTGTAAGGTACGGATCAGCCGGATATTCAATTTGTCTACGTTCGAAGTTGTCAGTTTTGTCTATCTCGCGATGGATGGAGTAGCCGAGTGATCGGTGAAGACGACTGTAGTCGCTGGGGATCCCTCAATCATGTGTCTCAGTTTTCGGACTACCTATACAAGGGCTGCCATTTCCATCTCAGTAGCTGTATATCGTGATTCCGCTGGGCTACATCGTTTTGACAAAAACATGATCGGTTCCACCATCTGCTTAGTGATCTTGAGATTTTCTGGGATGATCCCGCCCGGGAAGTCCAACTTGACGTGATAGGCTACTGCCCCGTAGCCATCTCCGCAAGCGTCGATGTCAATGAAAAGAGGTCGGGTTGGGTTATGATGGATGAGCCGTAGGCACTGTCGAAAGGAGTCCTGGATGTCGCGGTAACTCTGTAATTCCGCCTCCGTCGGGTCTTTCAACACCGCACTTCTAGTAAACGCCTTCCTGGACTCTCCCTGTGATGGGGCCTTCCCGAACATGTCTGTCTTCCGACGTTCGAGAGGGCCCGCCTTTCTAGAGTAATTTTCCACGTACTGGCGGAGGTATCCGGTCAGCCCGAGATATATGTCCAAATCTCGCGCCGTCTTCGGGAACTCTAGGTTTAAAATTGCCCTGATCTTTTCCTTAGTGGTGGACATTCCGAAACCATCCACCCGTTGTCCTAACAGCTGAACGCTGGGGTATCCGATGTAGCTCTTCTTCGGTGACAGGTAAAGGCCTATTCGTTGAAAAAGGCTGAGGACTTTATGAAGATGCCGCACATGTTCATCTAACGTACGGCTGAAGATTACAATATCGTCGATGTACGCCCTTGCGAAATCGCGGTAGGGCCGTAGAAATTTGTCGATCTGTCGCTGAACGAAAGGCGGAGATCCCTTGAATCCCATCACAGGGACTTCGAAGGTTTCCTGTCCTCTATGCGAGACGACCGTGAAACAGTGCTGGTCTCTCCGCGCTACCGGCCATGAGTAGAAGAACTGTGGGACATCCACCGTGGAGATGTATTCGCATCCCTGGACCGCGTTTATAATGTCAGATTGTAACGGCATTGGGTACGGGTCATCCTCTGCGTTCTTGTTTAGACCACGAATGTCGACTACCGCTCGGCCTTTCCGTTGGGGAGGTTTTCCAGGTAGATGGACGGTTTTCCAGACCACGAATACGGGGTAGCCGTGTGGTGTTTTCTGACGTGTCTAGTGCATCTTGTGTTGTTTGTGAAGTTCATCGAACGTCTTGTCGACTACCTCACGGGCTTCCCGTCCTAACGGGTAAACCCTGCTTGGCTCGATCTTTGCCTCAGGTTTCAATGTGATCTGTAGCTTTTCTTCCTCTAGGAGGTCCACGATGCGTGGACTTGCCGTGTTCCAGACTTAGTCGTATTGAGTGACCGCGTTGATCAATCTGTTACGGGTCTCTATGGATTTGCCGTAGATCGTGAGGCCGTTTGGCTGTACCCATTCACCCTCTGGCGAAGTGTCCGTGGTTGGTGCTCCCGCGGATGATGTGGCGGTGACCGGGGCCAGTAACGCTGCCGCCGTCAGCATGGCCATGGCGGATTTTTTGAAGAAGTTAACCGGGCCATTTATGTACCGGGTGTGTTCCGGACTCGCCGCGTAGCAGCCCTCGGCGTCGTAGTCAGATACACGACCGAGTCTAGAATGGCGAGGCATCACCATCGGTTTATCCGTGGTATTTGTAACCAAAACAGTTATTGTGTTCGCGTTAACGACTGCCGCGGAGACGCCGCCACCTAGCCCCATGTCGATGTATGCGGGTTCAAGTAAAAAATCGCGGCCCTTGGGTAGGGTAAACTTCTTTCTAAACATCAGCGGGACTGCCATAACGCTTCTGGCAGGGATGATAGTCTTTATTCTCGTCTATGCTACTCCCTCAATTCTCGGGCCAACCGGCTTGATGGAAATCTTTACCCGGAAATCGCCACAGCTGGCAAAGTGGAGTTCCCGCGCTGGGACGTCAATGATCGCGCCTTCAGGTCCCAAGATGTCCATACCGAGCAGTAGGTTTGGAGAAAGGTGGTCGACTATGTAGATTGTCCTCTTGATTTATGCGACTGCAGGTCCTCTTTCGGTGCGTCCGGGGATCTAGAGTGTAATCTCTACTACCTGTCTTGAGCGTTAGATGGTCTCCCCGACGCCTCGGACGTTAACGTCCGGGATATCCACGATTCTAGCATCCGGTTTAATCCAATCAAGGAAATTCCGATCAATTAGGGATATAGTGTAGCCGGTGTCGGCGCATATTTCCTTCTGTTCGTTACATGTATTGGAGTTTCCGACTGCGAGTATTATAAAACGCTAATCTCTAAAACTAAAGGCCGGCTCTGTCCCTAGGTCTGCCGTTGATTTAATGACCTTAAGAGGCGCCTGTCCGCTGACATCGGCGGCCCATGCCTGCACTAATGGCCTCGCCGTTTTGCATGCCCCACTAGCCCGAAGGTGCTTATGTAGCTCGTTCTTGGATGGGAAATCCGTAGAGCAGCCTTCATAAACGATTGGGTATGCTTTCGCCGTAAATGCCGAGACGAAAGAGACGCCCGGGTCCTCCGTATCTGGTTCGGGGAATTGTACGTCGGGGCTATCTATAGTGTCTGGGGTAGTATAATCCTCCGGGGAGTCGAGTTCGTCTGGGGTGCTATATCGTTCCTGGGAGGTTCCATATTGGTTATCGCTTAAAGGATGTTCCATTTCTTCTTCGTGCGTTGCGTTAACCGGGTATGCCTCCTGCAGAGGATAGTTGCTTCGGTAGTTCCATCCGCCTCGGTTACGATAACCGCTACGGCTCCACCGTCTATTTCCCCATTAGCGTTGGCCTCCGAAAGGCTGGTTACCTCTCTCTGTATCGCGCCAGCTGCGCTGGGGATTCTACTGTGACTGGTTTTGTTGGCTACGGTCATTCCAACGCTGTGCGTTGGCTGGGTTGCCGTTGCTGTTGTTATTAGTGTCTCCAGCAGTAGACCCTCTTTCGGGCTGTTGGAATCTAGTGCCTTGACCCTAGTTTTATGATACGGTACGTCCGTTCTGTCTGACGTCGCGATTTGTACTGGATCGATTCATTGGTGAATCGTACGCGTCGGCTTGCCCTGCTGTAATCTGTAGTCGTGATTGAGGGGCGGGTATCCCGCGTGTATCTGCACGTCTACTGTAGTCGATATTGACCTGTTGGGGAGGGTAAGCACCAGCGTTAACAGAAACGGAAGGGTAATTGCTCGGAAAAGCCGACTGATATCCTTGACGGCGCTGGTAGGGACCACTGAAAGTCTGTCCGCCAGCCCCTGTGGATGGGTGTCGGTAATCCCGAGCGCGACTGTACTGACCTTGCAGTTCTGCGGCCTTCCTGTCTGCAATTTCGAACCAGATATTTTTTCTAGTATCGAGCAAATGTAGATATGATTCTACGGACGTCCCAGGTTTAGGTTCTGGGATGTCTCTGCGTAAGTCGACATCTATATGTCCGTGTATGAGAGTCAGCTGATTGAACGGGTTGTCCATGTGTGCGGCACGCGCATCTCGCATGACTGTCGACGCGAAATCGCGGGGGTCCCGTCTGTTTAGCGCGTCCTGCATTGTATAGTTGGCTGACATAACTCTTGCGAGGGCCACCGACGGTGTCTCCGCGAATCGCTTGACCAAGAAGTTGCGCCATTCCTCCAATTCGGTTCCTCCGGTGGTAATCAATCTCTTCTCAATGTCTGATAGAACTCCTGTCCACCAGGATAGGGCTGATCCGCGAAGGCATTGCCAGAGGCTCTTCTTGATCACTTCGAAACCGTGGACTCGTGCCATGTCGGCTGCGCGATCGATAAATAGGTGGACGTCCCGAAAGATAGTCTCTCTGTTCGTGTGGACAATGGGGCCTTTACCGTAGGACTCTGGCATGTCCGGATGGAAGTAGCCGAGCTCTCTGGCGTATCTAGACGTGTCGCCTCCACCATTACCGTTACCGTTGCCATTGTTGGCGGGTGGTCCGGGAGGACCAGGGGGACCGGGAGGTCCTTGGGTACCCTGAGTATTTTGTTGGGCGTTTTGTAGTTGTTGGACGGTCTGACTCAAAACTCGCATCTGTTCCAAGACCTGTCTCATTTGAGCTGCCAGCGGGTCACCCGCGCCGTTCTGTTGATCTGCCATCTTGGGTGGCTGGGGATTCTGTTGTGACAAAAGGTCTGTGAGATCTGGTCGTGGGATATCCTGGCTTACGCCTGTGCCGCGTCGCGACGTGACACTGTGCACCGGGGGTAGTAGTGGACTATCCGCAATCCTTCGATCAGTGTGTTCACTGCCTGAGGGTGATGAGAGGGTCTGCTGCTCCCTATATTCGTGAAAAAGATGGTTGATCCGTCTGACGTCTTCAGGGCGGACGGGTCTGTTGATGAGCTTTTCGCTCCTTAGTGCCTGTGGTAGATCGTCCAAATCAGGCTCTGATTGGGCTCTCCGGCATGAGCGCTACAGGTTAGAAGCTTGATGGACGGTAGTCGATGGTTCACCAATGGTTGTCGGGGGGTCCGAGCTCTGCTGTCCTCGTCGTACGGGGGATTCAGGCCAACCACCGGGGGGCTGTCCACCAAGTAACTCTCGAGCACGTTAAATCCTCCGTGTCTCTGCCGATGCCAGTGGCCGTGTAGGGCGTGGCTGCGCCGTCCCGATTTCTCCAGTCACACTATTGTCTTTTTGAGTTGGATCTTCCTTTTCAACCACCAAGTCAAGGAGTACGGTTGAGAGGTCCTTGATTGCCTTTCGGACTGCTGATGGGTCGACAGGCCAATTGATGGGGTAGGGCGGAAGCTCCGCCTCTACTGCACGAGCTCGTGCTGTCGTGCGAGTTCCACTGGATTGTGGAGTTGCCGATGGGCGAAAATGCCTCATAAGGTGGCCGATCTTGGCCCTGAGGGTCGGTGGGCAGAGAATCCGCTGGCTCTGTGCTATTGGGAGATCTAAGTAGCTGTTGAGGGCGTGTGCTAGGTCCACGAACTTCTGGGGGATCTGTAGCTCAGATGGGTGCACCATCAGGCAGATAGTCACTCAAACCGTGGGGTTTCCGACGGCTTTAAGGAGCCTAAAAGGGCTCTTGGATCTGGTCTCGGAGGTTCCAGAGACGCGTGGCAAGCGTTGCTACCAATTGTAAAGGTGTGGTATGATTGATTGTCTAGCTATCTTCTATGGGAGTGCCGAAGGTAGCTATCTACTGCTTGTATCAAGTGTAGAATGGCAGGTGCCATTAGTAGGTCACGTGGCATGATCACATGACCACGGGGAATCCACAACAGCCACAATCGGTAACCAGATTGCCGCTGGGACGTATCCGTTCTCCAATGATAGTGAGTGTTTGCAGCTCATTGATATGAAAAAGTCGAGCCGACGGAACTAACCGGATGTCAGTTTCTGGTCTTTGCCCCAAGTACATCAACATCTTCCGTGCCACTTTGATCATCTCCGTTTTTTGTGTAGTGTCGAATCCATGGCAGATAATCAAAAACGCGGCCGGCTTGCTGGCTTTCTTGTCCGGTTACAGCATGTTCATGGGAGCCATTTGCGGTACGATGTGTAGCCACTACTACCTCATCGTCAACAAGAAGCTCAACATTCACGAGATGTACAATGGCCATGGCATCTACCGATACTCCAAGGTCGGCATCAATTGGAGAGCCTATGCGTCCTTCTTCACAGCGGTGGCACCACTGCTGCCAGGTTTTTGCAAGAGTATCGATGCAAACCTCGACGTTGGAGGTGCTTGGAAGATCTACACCTTCTCCTGCATCTATGGATTCACCGTTTCCGGCCTCGTTTACTACCTCATCTGCACTTACGTCTCGGGCGTGGGTGTTGCGAAGATTGATGAGGCGGTTTATCCCCCATCGAAATCACAAGCAACAGATGTTGAAGTGGGAGTCGCTCCATCAGAGGAAGATTCGATCGAGGAAAAGGCTGGTGTTGCCGTGTCGATCGGGGCAAAGGAATTTGGGCCTCAGTGAAGGAGGGGCAGTGAGCAAGAGCGTAGGATTTGGTCTGGATTGATACCTAGCGAAGTCGTCGTGCTTGTTGAAAGACAGTGGCGAGTGCAGGAGCCGAGGAACACAATACCCAAATAGTATGCTCACGAAGCCTTTCCTAGTGTTTTGAAATACCACAGATATGTCTGCAACAAGGTCCACTTTCCTTGGCTGGTAAGCCACATCCTGATAGTACATTAGGAACCAGGCCATAGATCGAACTGTTCCAATCCTATCGGTAATATTCCTTTGTGGTTCGTTTGACCACTTCAGTCTCGTAGTCCGAGTAGCTCGAGCGGTCATCATCACGGTGGTGACGGTGGTGGTGTCGGCCTCGAGAGTGGCTTCTCTGAGGAGGATACCGGGGTTGTTGGTCATCCTCGTATTCATATTGTCGCATTGTTTCCTCTGTATATGTCCGTCGCTCATCATCCTCTTCCTCGTGTTCATGGACCCTCGGGTCACTCCTCTGAGGACCGTATCTCACTCGGGAGCGGCTTCGACTCCTGTTTCGGCGAGTGTAACCCGCCGCATAGAGACCGTCCTCAAACTCTCCATTACCAACGAGATAGCGACCAGCCAGGTGTGCCTCGGCCCCGGGTCTTTCGTGCTTGCTTTCACTAGCATCGTGGTGACTGATTTGATCTCTGTAAAATCCTACACTGTGTTCGCTGCGTCGTCCCGCGAGAGAGGGTGGAGAATTATTGCCGCCGCGCATTGCACTCTTGAGTCGTTTCGGTGGAGCAATATCGTCGATATGAGCGTCCAAAGTGCGCCCGCGGCGGCTGTAGCGACCGTCGTCGTCGATTTCTTCCGTAACCTGAACATCCTTGTAACGAACATCTCTCACTGTTCTATCACGACCTCCACCTCGAATGTTCTCATACATAAACACGTCATCAACCTTCTTGGACGTCGTCAATGGTGGATCGGCATATCTTGAGCGTGGAGTTCGGTCATAACCCCTCGAGTCGACATCAACCAGATAGCCGCGGGAGCGTCCGCCATCAAGATCGACGACGTAAGTTCCATCATCTCTCCGCTGGGGTCGCAGAACCTCATACTCGTATCGACCATGATCATGGGGTCGGTCAATAATCACAGCATTGGAACGTTTGACATATGATTCGGAATTTCTATCGCGGCCGACTTCGTAAGTTGTCCTTGTTGCACTTGCTGGTGGGGGCAATTGAGTGCGTATGTCACTGGTCCTTGATCTTCTATCAACCTCAATGCGGTCATCACGATAGTCTCGTGAGTATGACTTTTCAACACGATACTCATCATCGTAGTCATATTCCCGCCTTGGCTTCCGGGTGTGGACCCGGTCATCAATTTCATCTCTGGTTCGGCTGGCGTACACGACTTTATAGGAGCGGTCATCTCCCCGTGTAGACATTGTGAATAGATTTCGGGACAAGTTCTGAGTCAATGGATGGACTCAAGCACAACGATAGAGTAAACTGCATTGAGCTGAAAAAAATCTCTTCGGACACCGCATCGGTTCAGAGCCCAGCAGATTGGTTTTTTCGCCCAGCGCTCCCCCGAAAAAGCGCGTGGAATCTGAATGGCTCAGTGGACAGGGCCAGCCTGGGCACCAAGTGGTGTGCGGGTGATGGGAGTTGGTTGGGAGGTGTGACAATGGCGATGCTGAGTGAACTTGCGGTGACTGGTGCTGGCTGCTGCTGGCTACGTCCTCCAGCTGACGTCATCCGCTGGTGGTCTGAGGACTGGCCTCGCTTGCTCGACCTGTTGCCTTGTTTGTGCAATCACCGATCCAAGCAACCAAAAGTTCAACCTGCTGCAAGGTTGGGGCTGCTACTCGACAAAATGTGTTGTACAAAACGCGACCACTCTCGCACTGTCGCGCACAAGCCGGGATCGTTTAATTGGGTTTGAATCGGGTCATTCTGGCGACATATCTTCCTTGGCACCCTGCTGCCCCTGAAACAAAAGCCCCTGAACGAATGCGAGACAAGAAGCTGATTTGACGACCAGACCCTTGCGGTTTACCTCGTACCCCTGGTCGATATCATCCTCAACTGCTTAATGTGGCCAGCAAGCTGCCGGATTGAGGTAGTTGACATCTAGCAAATGGCGGTTCAGCTCAGGAAAGACGTCACAATGGCAAAGAGAGGATTCCAACCATACGCGAACAGGTGTTTCTTCGAGAATTTGTGCCATTTGAGAAGCATCCGGACTGCAGTGGAGGAGGCCCCAGTATCTTTGCATGTGAGGTATCGTCATGTTCTTTGCCAAGTGGAGAGAGCAATTGGTCTGCTCTAGGAAGTTCCCTGCCTTGCTAATGATTGGGTGGTCTTTGGTACCTATTGCAAAGAAAACGGAACGAGATAACGAAGACCCTATTACGACTCCAGGTTGTCCTGGATTCGAGGAATCGTCCTGGTGATGGGTCGTATTCTCTCCTCATGAGAATCTGTGGTAGAAATACAAGGGTTGTGGATGAGGATCGAGAGCATCCAAGCCAGGAAGTAGATCACACACAGTTCAATGAGCAAATGATGAATTGACTGCCGTGACGCCGGTGCCTCCTACGCCGCATTCTCGAATGGTATGTAACAGAGGTCTGTTTGTACAAGAGAGCAGCAAAGCTGCTAGACCTTCGAGTTCTTGACCCCCACGTTCACTGTCATATCTCAACAAGCAACATGCGCCCCTGCAACGACTACTTTCAAGCAGAAGTTTCAAAATCATATGGAGTGGAAGGTCATAAAGGTATCTTTATCCCCGGCGCGAGAACCTCCAGCTGAGACTCTTTGGGCTAGACAACACCCTGCACAAAGTCAATAGATCCGGCTAGTCTTCTGATACCAATGGTAGACAGACCACAGGTGCTGTTGTACAGGAATTCCCCGACAGAGGAATCCCACCCCGAAGGGCCACATGTATGTGAGTCCATCGTCCCCAACCACCATTGTTAAGACCCGTCGATCGCCACCTTCTTGCAAGGGCCGATCATCGCCGGTCCAAGCACGAGAAAATATTGATTGGCGGCTTTGCATTTCCATTAGCAAAGTCAGTTAATATAACTCCCGAACTCCACCAGGGAACGTCCTGGTGCCGGTCACGTGCGGTCCAGCTCTGATTAGAATTGCGCCAGTGTAGAGGCTCGGATTCGTCTTCCACGGGTCGTTTCTCGCGGTGCATCCACAGATGGGGGCTTTCACGTTCCTAGACCACCCGGCATAAACCACGCGCGGCAAAGGACTCTGTCCTCTGACCCAAATTGAGACGTGAGGTTTGCTCAGCGCGTATGCTGTTCGCGATAAAGAGACGGCACCGATTGATGAGATCCATCAATTTGCGGTCTGAACTGTCGGAGACATCGAGACAGCCGGTAAAACAATTGATGGCCTTGAGATGCGTTTGTGCAGCCGTAAAGTCCTGAAGATACCAATTTGTCACACAGTGGAGCAGCATTTCCTGCAGAATTTGTCGGTCCGTCAACGTTCTCAGAGCTGGGTCGCCGAGCTGCTCCCGGAGTCTTTGGAGGGACGGTTGCATATACTTGGTCGCCTTGATTTCAAATTCCTCGCGTCGAGTGGGTATATCGGCCCCCATCCTAGCAGCTGTACAAGCAAGCATGGCAAATCCGTGGATTCCACCGACTGTCCGTGTCGAGAAGCTCGAGAAATCTTCACAGGAGACAAGCTGATGGAAGAGATCTCGGCCTTGTGATTGGCCCGGTGAGCGTGGCTCGGGGTCAAGACAAAGAGAGTTGAAATACTGTAACAGTTCTTCGACTTCAGGCGACTTCCCCGGAGAGTTGGCCGACGGAAATGGGCTCCCTGGCCCAAGGGTAAACTCGGGCCCTACCGATGATACACGGGTCTTGGGTTTTGATGGTGTCTCACTTCGCAAAGGTGGGGTTGATCTCGGCGAACGATGTTTGTGGCTCATGGATTGCTTTCGAGGGGATGGAGGTCCTGAGGTGAGCTCAGTGGTGTCTTCGACTCTGAACATGTGCAGCTGTTTGTTCTTCTGGTTGCGGCACGATTGTACATGGCTTAGGATAGCCGAGGCGTCTTTGCCATGGCATCTGGACAGAGACACAGAAGCTCTGTCCTTGTTAACAAATAGATAAACCGTCGGATGCCCATTCTTGGACATGTCGATTACCGGAGGACATACAAGTCTGGTCTTTGGAGTGGTTTTTGGTGGTGCACAAAGCAGTTACTCTTAGATTTGGATTCATGTAGAGAAAGGAGGAAGTCGGGAAACTGTAGACTTATCATGATTTTCAATGGTGGTCGTCGAATTGTGCCAATTCTAGAATTTCAGCCTCTCTCTTGCACCAGATCGATGTGAATCTGCTGCATCGGATTAGCGAAGCCATATCGCACGCGGCAGGGTCGAATTGAGAAGTTGCGGCCCTCGAAATCATTGGACGAGAGAGCTTGGGATGTCCACCGAAACAGAGTCGAAGGGGACGATCGTTGATCGCGGATAAAAAATCCTTTGGTGAGGGGGGCATGCTCCGAGATCCGGGCAAATAAACAGGGTCAGGCAGAAAAGGACCATGGTAAATTGCGATTGCAGTGTGTTTCCTCGATCGACATAGATAAAACAAGTAAGATTTGTACCATGGGCTCACCACGGCTGGGCAGTACGGGCTTTGTAAACTGCGCCGGCCAAAGCGCAGGCTGCAATCCGCGCAGTCCACAGGCGACTCCGCAGTCCACAGGCATGTTCCATCCTCGCCCCATTGGCCATGGTAGCGGGCGCTTCACATGGCGTCTCGTCACCTTTACTCAGACGGGCTTCAATCCCCGTTTGATCCCCTTTCTTCAGCCACACCGCGTGATTGGTTTACTCGTGTACTTGTGCCTACTCGCACCCGGTACTTCGTTAAGGTGGTCGATGACCACTGGGGACTAAGAGCCACTGGATGAGAAAGCCCATTGGGCTCGGGAGGGCCACCACGCGCATGAGATCGGTAGATCAGGAAAATCCCCAGCCAA